ATAAATTGTAGTTTAATCTGAATTGAGCTTTACAACCATGGATATGACATTTTTCAATTGAATAATCGTTTGTATCTGAATCGATGAAAATTCATTTATTCTGATAGAATTTTCATTTCCTCATGAGAGTAGTTTCTACTCACATAACATTATCTTTGGACAGGATCTTCCAAATAAAAAAAAATGCTTATTGATTGATATTAACTCGATGAAAATTCTGAACAAAATCATGAAACATATTTGTCAATAGTAAAAATGGGTGAAAATTTTCATTACACCATAATTCAGTGGAATATTAGTTATATATTTAAATCTTGATCGAAATCAGATAAAGAACAAATTTTCAATCCATAAATCTTGAATTCTGATGTCATGGTCATGCTTTCATGATAAAAATCAAGTAAACTATTTGTAACTTTATCAAAATCAGAACTGTAAAATTTTCATCCTGAGTTTCATTCAGTGATCAGTTCAGAGTTTCTCATTCAAAAGAGTGAAAGAGTTGAGAGAGCAAGTTTTGTCAGATGATTATGATGACCATGAAGACCATGAAGACGATGAAGATAAAATGAACTCTAAATGAATCGTGAATGAATGAGTGAATAGATGAAATGAAATGGGTGATAAAAAAAAGGGTCATCAACAACAAAAGGATGAGGATAAAGGTGGGTGGTGATATTGAATCAACTATCAAAGTGAATGCCAATTGAATGTAATCAGATTTGTGGTCAATTACTTTTCATCCGTTGATTTAATTAAACTTTATTGTTATTATCATTTTCATTTGTCCAGATAATGATGACACTTCCCACATGATGATGATGATGATGATAATCCAACAACAATATTAAACCAATCAATAGGAGTAGGATGATGAGGAAGCCCAACAATCAATTCAATTCAATTCTAACATTAGTTAATTGTGACCAACAAAAGATGGTCAAACTAATATTATCATTTACAAATCAACAAGATTCAATACAAGTCGATGGAAAGGAAAAAAAATCAATTCATCGAACCTGAAACTTACGAGTTGGACGAGAGAAAAAAAGTTCTTAAATCTTATCATTCACATTACACTAAATTGGATTAAGTTGTTCAACTGCAAAGTGATTAAGTTGATAACGCTAATCAGAGGCAATAATATTTGAAAAACTTTTTCCATTATGCTGGTTACATAAGCCAATTTGAATTCTCTCCGTGTAAAAGTAACACCAATCAAGGGTGATGTCGGTTCCTACTTGATAGTTTGAGGTGTAACACATTCATGGGGAACTGTCATTTGATATAATAGACTTGATGAGAGAGTGAAAAGTAACAAGGGAGTGACAAAAGTGGGTTGGATGGTGGAGGAAAAGGAGGTTGCAGATGAAATCAAGCAAAAGATGAAAAAAATAACCCAAAACTATGACTTAAGTTGGAAAGATGATTCTATGGAATAGAATGAAAAAAAAAGAAGAGTTCTAACTTGAAATACGAATATAATGATGTTAGTTCGCTGCTGGAAAGAAAAGTTTTCTCAGCGATGAAAATAAGAAGATAACATTGAGAGGAAAAGAAAAAAATGGCAGAAAAAGAAACGGAAATAATATTCTTGTATTTTGACTTGGAACTTTTAGAAAAGAAAAAATAATTTCCAACTTTTCGTAGATCTGAAGAGATTTCGATTCGATGATTCAAAAGTTCTTATAGCTTTTGTGACGAAACTCGTACAGATTTGGTGTCGATGTGTAAGCAATAATTCTAGAAATTGAAAGTTACCAAAGTTCAACGATTTATGATAATATTAAATTTCTTAGGTGAGGATTGGAAAAATTCTGTACCTGGCAATAGATTTTGAACTCATGGACGATAAAAGAACCTAAGAAATGAATCGGAATAAATGAATATGATGAAAAGTTCTAACCACACCCTCGATGTTTCTTATTTTTTTCAAATTCAACAAAGAATTAGTTGAAAAGTTCAGAGATACAGATTCGAAAGTGAAATCTAAAGGTATTAGCTAAAAGTTACACCGAAAGAAATGTTGGAATCATGATGTTATCCTGAAATGATTTGGAAAATAATACAAACTGAGAAAAGATCATTTTAATACTGTTATCATTTAATAAGAATCATTATTATTCCTCTGATTACCTTTATCTATGTTGAAAAATGAAACGGTTTCAAATTCAGAATCATGGTAATATATCTCACGAGTATCATGAAGAGTCATGATAAAAAAGAAAAGAAAACTTCAACCTCCGATTTTATTCAATTTAAATGCTAACCAAAGATCATTTCTTTCAGTTATATTTGGTTTATTTATTTTTAAAGTTCATCTCCATGAACCTGAATAGATTTCATGATATCTTTACGATTCTGGTACTTTCAATATTATTCTGGTTTGGAATCTGATACATTTTAATACAGATCAATTTCCAATAAGATTGATAATAGAAATAGCAGAAAAAAAATTGAAACAAAGTTTCAATTCTAACACAATTTAAAGTTCTTATTGTACTTTCACTGTTACTAATATTTCAAGGTCATTAAAGGTAACAACTGATTATCATGATATCGAATAAAATTTTACAGTTCAACTTAAAAGTAATCTACTAATTGTGATCATGTTACATGGAAAGTGTTCAAGGTAATCGGATGAAATTGATAATCATGTCGTTAGAAGATAAAATTGATGAGAACTGGGGATGAGATTATAAACTTAATGAGTTATGGATTAAGTGTGTGTCTTATATGGATAAGATTAAGAGGATTAAACAAGTTACACTTTATAAAGAATGGAAGCAAGAAAAATATATAATTCGATATGAGATTAGGTTACTCATTGAATCATTACTCAGATTGACCAACAGTGGACACAACAACAATAAAACTCAATTCGTTTTGGCGAGATATTTTTTTTCTATTCAACATTTTCCTTGGAAACTGTTGGATGCTACAGAGATTTTTTTTCTCTACTATTACTATTAACTGATAATCGTTATTAGCTTTTATGACCAGTGTCCATTTGGTCATCATTTTTGATAATCATGATGATGATTAAGTCTTTCTCTTAACCTGATAAATAAAAGATATTTACTATTGATTTATCATATAGAACTTTTCGAAAAAAAAATTGATTCTTAATCTCTTCCGGTTTTATCATCTAATGGTCATCGACTTTAACAATGATAAATTTACTCCCGGTAGAGGTCAAATTTGATTCTTTCAATATTTGACCAAAAGACATTAGAAATTCAAATGCTGAATGAGTTCAGAATCTTTGTGAAAAACATGAGGTTAAACATGATGGATAAGAAATTAGATTCTGAAACTATTGATGAGCTGATAATGAATACAATGTAATTATGATGATAATCGTTACGATAAATCATAATGTTCATCATGATGATTATCATGAGTAAATCAAGAAGTCATTGTTATTTTTTGTTCAGATAGATAATCATATGCTTTAAGACTGTTATCTAAATATTAATGGTCATTTATCCGTAGACTTGACATGAGAAAATGAAACTGGACAAAAGGACAATCATCATGATAAACATGATGATCATTTTCAGGATTATTAAAACAGAAGGAAAAAGATAAAGAGAGAGAGAGAGAGTATTTTGTTTCGATTTGTTCGTATTCGTGAAGTTTTCCTTCATGAGATTGGAATGAGATTTTTGATTCACCAGACTGGAAATAAATTTTATCTATTTCTCCTTCCCTGAGATTAAACTGAAAGATTTGAGATTCCATGGTGGGAATGTTGAACTTTTCATAAGCATTTTCACTGTGATAACATAACTTTCGGCTAACTGGATGATTTAACATTGACATATATTTGTATCAGTTTCATCAGTAGTTTGATAATGATGATAATCAATTTTTACCATGATAGTAACTACGTCTCAACAAATAAAGGAGCAAAAATAAATTAGCTAAATGGTTCATCAGAACTCATAGAGATCGCCAATGAATCAGTTCAATTCATTTCTAACCTTTCTAAGCAATAAACAATTCGTATAACATTTTAACCCGAAAGGTGATTGACATTTGACTCGATGAAAAGTGAGTGTTACAATTGTGATGGAATCAATTTAATATCAATTGTAAGTTGATTAGATCAGATTGTCACTCAGGTTCAAAGTTATCATTGAATAACATGTATTCAAACTAACGAGGGAAGATGGTCAATGGTCAGATTTTTATCTATCAACTGGAATCAAAGGTAAACTTTCAGAATAAGAATGAAACTTTCTCTGTATTCGTATAAATATTTGATCACATTGTATCTTAACTTATGTCCGGTAATTGATTGACCAGAAAAGTCAATCGAGAGTCAAGTAAAATAAACATGATGATAAATAACAATAAACATCATTGATATTATTGAATATCAAGAAATAAAAGTAGAAATGGAAGAAAAAACCGAAAGGAAAAATGACAAGAATACAATACCTAACGGTCAGTTTCAAGTTATTCTGTTGACCATTTATTGTTGTTTATCTTTATTTTGTATCGTGTGAGAGAGAGAAAAAAATTCTGACCATGGTCCAGTTTGGTAAAGAGAATGATAAAAACAAGATGAAATGTTCGAAGGCAATGTTACACTTTTCTATTAATATTTGCTATCGATTATATAATCGATTCTAAAGGAGACTGAGAAATGACCGGGAAACAGATTTCCCTTGGAACTGATATCAGACCATGTTGACCATTGTCTGATCATCAATATTCATAGTTACCAATTGAGAAATATATTCGTTAAGTTAATGATCAATTTCCTGTAATTATCTGGACATTAAATGATTTCATGTAAAATCATTCAAAAAGACAGATAAGATTTCAGATCGAGTTCATCTCGAATATATTGTTAGAAATTAAATTCTGACTCTAATCTTTTTGCATATTGAAAACAGAATTACTGGTCAGTGGTCAAAGAGTAGTTAATTAAATCAACTTCAACTATACATGTTATTTAGAAAACGATAGTCACAGGATAGTTCAATATATTATCATGTAGAATTGAACAATAAATTCGTCAAGTTTTAAAGAGAAAAAATTTCAACCTAAATTTTGATCAATTGTAGTCTTCTTATTGTCTCACATTCACCAGCTCAACGAAAAATTGACAGAAATTTGTAAATGACCATTGGTCAACTCACCGATTAGAAGATTTATTGAAGACACTTGTTGATTCACGACTGATGAACTAATCTGATGCTCGGAGTTCCAGTCAAATTCACAATAACACAACACAGTTGATGGATAATAACAAATTTCAAAGAGCTGAAACTAACTCAGAGTTTGAATTTTAAGATTTTTAATAAACAGATCACATGAACTTCACACCATGTACACCAATTTAAATTAGTAACTAATCAAAACTCAAAAGTAAATTGAATCACAAGCACAACGTTATGAGAAGTGAAATAACTCAAATTGTTTGGGTTGCAATTAGAATCATGAGAAAACGGAACAGGAAACAAATTTATTATCATTATAAGATGAAGGGGAAACTAAAGTGACATCATAAGATATCAAGAGCAAAGTTGTTACTCTTCGGACATCATTCAATATCTTATCTTTTAGTCTTAATGTAGATTAAGTGAGATATTTGTATGATTATCATTAAAGAGATAAGATTGAGAGATCAGCAAAAACGCCCAAAAGGTCATCATGCTGCTTCTAGAGGTTATTTGTTCTCTGAGTTTCTCGAAGATACCTAATTGTAGTGTTTCGATTTCCAGCCTTACAGTTTTCAATTCATTGATGAATGAGTGGCGAAAAAATATTACAACTTACAGTTTAGTTTGAGATATGATTTTTCACTGTATCCGGTTCCTTGACTGTTCCTTGCTGAACATTGGTAATGTCCACGTTGACTTCGTTTAACTTGTTGAAGGACAAGTGATTGATTGGAGACAATTATTCCAGCCGAGGGATTGGTGTAAAGAGGAACATCTTCAAAAAGCCAAGTGACCTCAGTGACCCAAGGATTGGCGCGAACATTACATTCAAAATAGACATCGGTGTTTTCACGAATTGTGTCCAATTGAAGGCTAGTACCTAAGACGATTGATACTTGAGGTGTATCTTGAAAAGGGTAAGTGAGATAATTTTTGTTGTTATTTTTAAATTGTAGCAAAACTCAAAAGATGAACCTTAAAATTGTTGATCTATTATATGAAACTTACAGTGAATATTGAGAATTGTTTCATCTTTTAATGGTGAGATTGATAATTTTGTGTTGACCACTGAACAAGAAATGACCTTTCCATTGTCTTCTATGGTCGGTTTATATTGAAACTTTGAGGTTGTTGAGTTACCGTCATTGGAGAGGATTAAACTTGTAGTTACATTCAAAGGCTCATCATCTTTGAACCATTTCACTTGAACGGGTGGACGAGAACCATAGGATAAGCAGATGAGGTCACTTACATTGTTTGCAGGTAGAAAAGTATTTTGTAGCAAAAGTTCAACACCAAGAGGTTCAACTGGAAGAGAGAGAGAGAGAGAGAGAGAGATTTAACATGAAACTTTCATGAGAGATTCAGAATTAACTCACGAATCATATCAATTGAAACTGAAACTTCTTTGGGCGGTATAAGGTCAGTATTAGAAACTAGGCACGTTAATACGGTTAATAAGTTATCACGATCGATATTTTCCACGATAAATTCATTAGAAACTGTTCGATTCTGTGAAATCTGATAGGAATCATCAACCATGTTCCCACCCTTCCACCAGCGTATACTAGGCGAGGGATCACCTTAATTAAATTAAAACAAAAAAAAACACTCAGTTAAAAATTCATAAGAAAATCATTAGATGTTGAATGAAAAATAAAATATCACAATTATGATTATCATGGTGATATTATTATAAGGAGAAAAAAGAAAAGTTCATTCATCATTTTTAATCTTTTCCTCTGTTCCAGATCACAAATTTTCTGTACCTGAATCATGTAAGTGTTACCATGTAATACTATTGAGTTGTTTGAATGTTTTCACCATTGATAGGATAGTTGAAGCATCTATTCATACAATGTTTTTCAATTCTCATGCAAGGATGATGGTGATTCTCAAAAAAAACTGATTGCCTTATTATGCCTCATGATAAGTTTCAATAAGTTTCAGTAACTATCTATTATTATCGTGATTACTATTATGATAACCATGGGAGAGTATGGGAGAGAGAGAGAGAGAGAGTGAGAGATGAAAATATTTTGCATAAAAACACATTACTAAGGATGCATAGAAAGTGACTATGATTAAAGGATCTTTGGTAGGAAGATGATGATGATGATGAAGTAGAAAAGAGAAAAGATCAAGAATAAGTAGATGGAGTAAGAATATTTAATGATCCCTGAGATGTTTAATGAGCCATAGAATTTGAGGAGAAAAAAGGAAGAAAACAATTTCATGCAGAATTTTGTTCGAAACTTTTTTTCACCAATCTCCCTACCACCATTCTCATGTAGATTAGAATAGATTATCTGAATTTCAATTGTAAAAATAGTTGGATTTCAATCTGATTACAATGAATTAACATTTTCCCTGATCGACTTTCTTTATCAACCAAAACATCAGCTTTTTCCATAACTTTCCAAATCTTGATAATATGGTCAACAAATTTACCTTGACCACTTGGAGCTTTACAAATTTCAATGCTAATACTATTATGTATTAACACTTGAAACTTTCTATTATGTAGCCAGTTTTTTTTAGTATTGTTGGTCAACTAGTTCAGTGAATTGACGAGAATCAGCAAGTTGATCAATCGATGATTAACTTTTGATGATTGAAAGCTAAATGCATTTGACAAGATCAATTTGCAAGCTATGGTTACCATTATTCAATATAATGGTCGCTCATGTGGTCAGTCAGATAACTTACCCCCAATAGCTTTACATGTAAGTCTCAGGGTGGTTCCTCTTAGGAATGGGCCAATTACACCTTCCATTCGGGTTCCATTGGAATCAACAATAATCACTGATTTAGGTGGAACTATGAAACAATTATAAGAGTTAAAAGATTAGTTAACTTGCTTATTACTCTCATTTCTCAAAATTGGGCCAACAATCAAATTTAATAACTTTTTTTGCATCATCAACGATTAGTATTTAGGTTGAACTTTTTTTTCGCCTTCTTTTTAATAATAATCAACTATTAACACTTTTAGAAGTTTAATTTTCTCTGTCACATGAAATTATCATTATCATCTTGAGTTGCATCATTCTAATGACAACAGAATAGTTTATTAGAACAGAATTATCTCTTTCCACTTTTACTTTCGATTAAGAAAAAAGAGAAGAGAAAAAAAAATATATTATTTTCTCTTTCGAATTCATAATTTTCTTCATTTCATTTACTCTCTTCTTCTAATATATTGAATATATAATATTTAATAATCACTTTTAGGTTCAGAATTATGATGATAATGTTGAGATCTTATTATCGTTCCATAAATATCCCCTGTTAATAATGTGTTACCCTAATGAACATGAGGATCTTTCCTTTTACTAACTATGATATTGAATTGAATTCACTGGGAGTGAGCATGGAAAACATTTGATGATAATGAAGAAATCAGATTCAATTATGGTTCAAAGTCTGAAAGTGATTGAATATAATATTGTTCAGGTAGCGAAATGGGAGGATAGAAGTTCATTTATTGTTCAGTGCGGTTAAGATGAAGAGAAAAGAACTTTTTTTTACTTCCTTTCTCTGTCTCTGTCTCTTTATCTTGTTGCTTCTTTTTTTCTCTTCCTCTTTTTTCGACATCAAGATGATAAAATGATCAGTGTTGCAAGAAGAAAAGAGAAGACAAGGAAGATGAAGAGACGAATGACAAAAGAAAAAGATTTATATTCATAGTTTACAAGGCGAAGACGAAAAAAAAACCTATTATACTGCGAAAAGATCCAACTACAAATTCGTGAAATTTGTATGAAGATATTATTATTATGTGAATAGAGGAAGAAAAAAATTCTTTTTGTCGAAAATTTCTTCATTTCTTACCACCCCTTTATCTTTTCTTTTTTAATATTCTTTCTCATCATCAACATAAACTTTAGAACCTTTTCCATGTAGAGCGATTTCAATGTTCGATCCTTATGAAGACATTAACTTGTACCATTACAAGTGAAAAAGATACATCGAAATCATAGATTAACCCTTGGAACTTTATAATATTCATTGAATTTAGCAAAGAATTTTCTTCATGAAGCCAATTTACCTTTTCCATCGTTTAAACTATTCCATGGTGAGTGAGAAGAAAAAACTTGTTCTTTCATATATATTAAGAGAGTAGAAAAAAAAATTCTAAAAAATGAAAGGAGAAAAAAAGATATTCTCATAAGAAAGGAAAACCTAATTTCATCTAAAGCTCTGTTTCCATGAGGATATTCAGTCTGTCAGAATAAATTCTTGTTAAGAGATTCGGTGAAGAAGAAGAAACAAAAAAAGTTCCAAGTTGAAATTACTCCTTCTCGAATTGAGTCAAATTCTCGACTGTAACAAAAGAATTATTCCAATGTCAAACAGGCAAAGACAAAAGAAGATGAAAGTTTTGTTCGCCGGAAAAAAATGGAATAGAGAAGAATAAAATTTATCTGAATCAACCAGAGAAAATGTTATTCATTTTTAGAGCTTTTTTTGGAGAAAAGAAAAAAAATCAACATTAACTTGATCTTATTCTGCACACTTTTGCATCTCTTACAACTCATTCGTTCTCATGTAGTGTGTGAATTGTATCTCTTTCGGTGTGAGTTAAATTCTCTGTGAAGAGAAAAGGATAACTTGTAAATGGAAAAAATTTTAGGCCATTAATGAGAAGGTGAGATATGGAAGTGAGAGAAAATGGTATTGAAAGAACAGAATGGAAACATGATGATAATGATGATGGAAAGAGAACATTTTTCTCCATCTTTGTTTCGTTAGCAGAAAGAAATATAATAGTTTCATAAGTTCTGACGTGGGTGATGAATAAGAAAGAGGAGAGATTTTTTTTCCTTTTTCTCTCAGCACAAAGAGAGTGAAAAGTGAGTTTTGTTATTAATATAATCTCTCTCTCTCTCTCTCTCTCTCTCTCGTCTTTAATCCCTGGGAGTTTGTAACTGATATCAATTGATACTAATGGAGTGATGACACAACAATGGAATCAGAATCCTAAGCTAAGATTTACAAGGAATGAAAATAAATTTCTAATTCAGGGAATACCCTGGGACTCGGTGAGAACATTTTCCAAATAGATTCTTATGGAGATTGATTCAGTTTCTTTGTTTTAATTTGTTCTCATGAAATGATTCACTTGAATGAGGAAATTGATTCTCATACAGGATGAATATCATTCCCTGTTTACAATCATCATCATGAATGTTATTCAATGACTTTGATGATCTCTAGTGATTCTTGTTTCCTGTAATCAAAACACTTTTTCACCTGAAGATTTTCAGTAACATTAAGTACAATCAAGTGAAAAGTAACAACAATGTCAGTGGTTGATTCTTAGTTGCCAGATTATCATAGGATTTAATGTGAAAAGAATTAGTTTGAGTAAAAAGAAAGTAAAAGGAAAACATGATAAAATCTAAAGGTAAATAAGAGAATTGAAGAAGATATAAAAAAAGAGAAGAATAAGAATCAACATTTGATACAATCGCAATTCTATTATTGAGAAGAAAATTTTTCTTTCGATTCTCTTGAGACAAATGCTATGAAATAGGATAAGATGATATTCTGATTCCAATCGAGACTAAACAAAGTTATAAGATGTGACGATAATATTGTCCATGACTAAGCCAACACGGTGAAATATTTCACCATGAAGATGAACAGATAATAAGGAAGATGTTGGATGAAAAAGGAAAAATAATATTCTGAAAAAAGAAACAAGATGAGAAAAAAAACAAAAAAAATGAAACAAAAAAGGTGAGAAGATGAGATTTCAAGTGAATTTTAGGTGGACTTAGAGAGAGAGAGAGAGAGAGAGAGAGAGAGAGAACGGTAAATGCTCACCGAAATAAAGAGTAAGCTTATGATGATTATGATGATAAGTTTGATGACAAAAAAAGGGATAAGTTTATATAAGATAAAAGGAAATGATGTTAGTAAATATTGGGAGGACAACGAATGGAGAAGCGATGTCAGGGGAGATTTTGGACCAGAATAATCAATCCCTTTGAAGAGAAGAGGCTACTTATGATGAAGATGATGATAGGGAAAAGTTAAGATGAAAAGAACATCGAAAGAACAAAAATCGAAAAGTAAAATATCTTGAAAATCAATCACAAGTCAAGGGCAAGAGAGAGAGAGAGAGAGAGAGAGAGAAAACAGGAAGATGGAAATGATGATGAGAATAAGAAGATGAGGATAACTTCATTTTTAGATGTGAAAACAGAGGAACAAAAAAAGTAAGAGAATAGAAAAAAAATAATCGAAGAGAAAAGAAAATATATAATCCAAAGTCAGAAGCAGTAATATGATGATGATGAGAAAGAGGAAGAGGAAAAGATGCGGTAGAAAAGAGGAAGATGATGGCTTGTTGACCATTAGTCAAGAAGAGTTTTAGTTTCTCTTGTTGGTAAACCTAATCTTCTGTAAGGTGAGAAAATATTTTCTCTTCTTTCAATCGGATTATCTTCATCACTTTTTCATCCTCAATGGATCAGAATCCATTTAAATGGTTTCAATAATTTCTAAGTTGAGCTTTTCTCTCATTCCATCAAGTGATATACTTGTTAATGAGATGAAATAAATTTCATATTATTGGTTAAACTATCGATATAATTCAAAGGTAAACTTCCGGTTAGGAAAACTAAACAACTTTAACTTTCGTGTTTGACAGTTTTAAGATAGTTTAACAACTCCCAGGGAATGTTGTTCTCTCTCTCTCACTGAATACATGGAACTTTTTTCCTTTCTCTTATGGTATTAAATAGGAGAAAACAATATGATTTTTACTGTCATGTTTTCGTTCCGGAATGAAAAGTAAACTCAACATTTTCACTGATGGAAAATCAAATTTGGTGACATTTAGTTGAATAATAAATTTCTTTCGACTTTTCTATTTTAATTGTAACGTAAATTTTTATTACATAATCAGTGAGGTAGAATTGACATGAAATTCAAGATTATATTCATGAAGAAAAATTTCTCATCCAGAGAATCAGATTTCAGGTAAATGAAGATAATTAGATTTACTGATTGTTAAATATTAGAAAAGGTAGAAAAATGTTATACAATGTGAAAGAATGCTAAAGTTACATTGATATTCAAATTTCTAGTTCTCATTGTAATACATTTATTATGAACATGAACAGAATAATATCTTTATTGAATCAACTCTACCCACGAATTCATGATAATTCAATGTTAGTATCATATGAATACACTGTTGATACAACAATTATCAACAGTTTTTTACCTGAATTTTGGATTCTATTTTGTCAGAATTATATTGAGCTCTTTTTTACCTTATCGATGGCAGATTATTATATATTTACTTATTTTTCAATCAATCATTCTGAGAAGATCATGAAACTGATCCACTTCACCCTGAACACTGAACTGATTGACAGGTTGAGAACTGATTGTAATACATTTTCCGTCTTTCTCTTTCCCTTTTTTTACCAATAATGTTGCGAGTTTATTAGAAAGGTGAGAAAAAAGTTCATTAAGTGTCAATTGTTAATCATGAAATCGTTACTAAAAATAATATACAAGAGTTTTGATTAGTTTCGTCAACGATAAAATCAGAAAGACGCAGAAAATTTTCTCAGGTAAAACTTTTTCCCCTTCAGAACTATTTCCGTCGAATCCATGAATTTATTTATATAAAAGTCATTCAGTTCATCTTTCATAATAAGTAGAAATTTTTTTCTATCGTTCTTCCCATGAAAAACTAAGCATGAATGAAAAGATGTTAAAAGTTTATCCTCTTTCTACCTAATAATTCATGAGTAAATATCATTAATCCCACCATGAATCTTGATTCACTTTTACCC